CATTGTGAACACTGTCCTGCAAAAACACCAGTTTTGCACATAGTTTTGAAAGTCCTTTTAAAGATCCTTTTCAGTAATAACTGTATGACAATCTGTGATGAATGCCCTTATTGGACTGGGATTTTGTGAAGCTATGTATCCAGGGATTTGTGTACCTAAAAGACCTTTTTACAGCTTGATTAATGCATTTGGTATGCTAGATTTCTATTTTAGTGAATTTCTCTAAGGAATGTAATACAACTTGTAGCTTCTAAAGTACCTGCAGCAATAACAGATGAGATCCAATTGACTTAACAAACTGGTTCCTGAGAAATGTTTTCCACCTAGCCGTAATTTACCATCTGTGTCATGTGTCCCTTGTGCTGCTGTCTCCTTGTTTAGGTGAAATCTTCCTTCTCCAATGCCTCATCACTCTTCCACCATAATCTTTCAGTGTGAGGGAGGCTTAATAAAAACTGAGGGAGCTGTAACAGGCACTCATGAAGACTGCACATCTGTGCCTGTCCGTTTCATTCAAAGAAACTTCTTTGAATGGGGATGCTGGGTGGAAAGAACTTTGAATGGAGGATGATTGAAAGGTCCACCCCCTCCTTTTGTAGATCTTATTTAATTCATAGAATCTGTAGTACAGCTTCTGTTAATGCAGTGTTTCTCAATTCCAGTCCTCATGGACCCCCAACAGGTCATGTTTTCAGGATTTCCATTATTTTGCACAGGTGATTTGATCAGTTTCACTGCCTTAGTAATTACCACAGCTGTTTCATCTGAGGGAAATCCTGAAAACATGACCTGTTGGGGGTCCATGAGGACTGGAGTTGAGAAACACTGCGTTAATGTAGTCAGAGTGGGCATAGTCTGGCACTCTTGAAGTTCTATTAGCCCCTGCCGCTGTATTTAGCAAGGCATAAAGAGGGGAAAAATGTTGCCTAAAGCAGAAGAGAGCAGCATAAGAGACACATCACACTGATGTTGGGTCATGTCCCTTTTTTGCTCTTTTTTTTTTTAATTAACCTGGGCTTTTTTTAATTAACTTTAGTTGTAAAGGCTCAAGGGTTTTTATTTTTTAACCTTCATGCATTCTGTGCATGAAGGTAAAAGACCTGTGTACTGTGCCCCCCCCCCCCCCAAACTTACCTCATCCCCTTCCCGATCCAGTAATGTGCACAAAGGCCTGGGAACCCCCGGTATCTCCCTCCTCATTGGCTGATGCAGCCAATGAGGGCTGAGTAGGGGGTGGGGCTGAGCCTGCTCAGGTGCCCCCATAGCAAGCAACTTGCTATGGGGGAACTAGGCAGGAGGGAGGGGCTAGGAGTGCTACTGGGGGACCCGATTAGGATTGGGGCTCCACTGCACAGAGCAGGTAAGTATGGCATGTTTGTCATTTAAAAAAACAACAAACAAAAAGCTTTTATGTATTTTTTTTTTTTTTTTTCCTTTTAGTTTACATATACCTTAATTCCTGCAATTTTCTAGATGATACTCATTTCAATCTAAGACAGCTTTTTACATTAAGTAACAATTTTAGTAATGCTTGCTGGTTTCTTCTTGTCCCACTGCTGTCTAGTGATATTTTTTTTTTTTTTTGCCTTTTTGTTAATGACAAGTTTCCATATATATTATTGCTTATTGCCTAATGTTTTGGTCAAATTATGTTCCAGTTGTTTTGTTCCTCCATAAAGAGTAAATCCTGCTTTGTGTGATTTTTAATACATCAGTCTTGTTACCTTGATAACTGTGGGTGTAGGGACACTCTGGGAACTATTTTAATATGAACAATAACAAGTGCCCAAAGAAACCATACATGTCAATTTAAGGTGAAATTTGATATAAGCTACTACACTTTGCACGGTTTATTACTTGCTGTTTTACACAATTTACAGAATCTGTTGTATTTTATGCCAAGATTCTTCTTTTTTTTTTTTTTTTTTTGCTTTTTTTTTTTTTTTTTTTTTTTTGCTATGATTATCTTTGTTTATAGAAAATGTTATGGCAGTTTATGTAGTCCGTAACCTGAAACACAAAAAAGCATGAATGTTTTCGCATTTTTCCATCTTATAATGTATGTCCTACAAAGGATATTCAAAACTGGTACACTATAGTGATAATGTCATTAATAATTATATCAAAATATGTATGTATAATAGGCTTGGAGAGGAGCCTAATGTTTGTGTTATGAATCTATTTTAAAACAATTATGTCAGCTGCTTAATTGCTACCATTTTGTCCTTGTACATGTATATGTGGAGCGTATTCTGTGAAGTAAGCCTGGAGGTCCCATGATAAAGGCTGGTTCTCTCTGGTCCCTGATCATGACCATTTTATGTATTTCACTGAAAAACACATGCTCACAAGTGCATGCAATGTCCACACTGCATGTTGAAAAATGTGACTGTCTATGCCCTCATTAGTGTGTGTGTGTGTGTGTCTGTCTATATATATATATATATATATAAATAGGGATCTGATTCCAATAAGGGAAAATGTAACACTTCTGTTCATCTCAGCAGGAAAGCCTTAGTGGCACGTGATGGGCGAGGGGAAAGCGTTAGTGGCGCGTGATGGGCGAGGGGAAAGCGTTAGTGGCGCGTGATGGGCGAGGGGAAAGCGTTAGTGGCGCGTGATGGGCGAGGGGAAAGCGTTAGTGGCGCGTGAGTGTTTTGGCGCCTGATGGGCGAGGGGAGGGGAAAGCGTTAGTGGCGCGTGATGGGCGAGGGGAAAGCGTTAGTTAGGGCGCGTGATGGGCGAGGGGAAAGCGTTAGTGGCGCGTGATGGGCGAGGGGAAAGCGTTAGTGGCGCGTGATGGGCGATGGGCGAGGGGAAAGCGTTAGTGGCGATGGGCGAGGGGAAAGCCTTAGTGGCGCGTGGGGGCGAGGGGAAAGCCTTAGTGGCGCGTGATGGGCGAGGGGAGAAAGCCTTAGTGGCGCGTGATGGGCGAGGGGAAAGCCTTAGTGGCGCGTGATGGGCGAGGGGAAAGCCTTAGTGGCGCGTGATGGGCGAGGGGAAAAAGCCTTAGTGGCGCGTGATGGGCGAGGGGAAAGCCTTAGTGGCGCGTGATGGGCGAGGGGAAAGCCTTAGTGGCGCGTGATGGGCGAGGGGAAAAGCCTTAGTGGCGCGTGATGGGCGAGGGGAAAGCCTTAGTGGCGCGTGATGGGCGAGGGGAAAGCCTTAGTGGCGCGTGATGGGCGAGGGGGAAAGCCTTAGTGGCGCCTGATGGGCGAGGGGAAAGCCTTAGTGGCGCGTGATGGGCGAGGGGAAAGCCTTAGTGGCGCGATGATGGGCGAGGGGAAAGCGTTAGTGGCGCGTGATGGGCGAGGGGAAAGCGCCTTAGTGGGCGCGTGATGGGCGAGGCGAGGGGGCGAAAGCCTTAGTGGCGCCTGATGGGCGAGGGGAAAGCCTTAGTGGCGCGTGATGGGCGAGGGGAAAGCCTTAGTGGCGTGACGGTGGGTATCCATACATGAAGTCAGCGTTTTAAAACCTACACGTTATAGCTCCATTATATGATTGTGTATAGAACGAAAGTCAAAAAATCAGATGAGCTTCAACCACCAAGCTTTTGAAAGATAGGATACAGAAACCTTGGGTGGATTCCTTTTTTTATGCATGTTAAGCTTAGATAAATTGGTGCCTAATTTATTCAGATATGACCTGATCATTAGATTTAGCATGCTAGCACACACAAAAGTCTGAATATCTGATGGTTTCCTCATGTTTGTGTAGCTTGATTGAGGTTACAATTACTTCAATATTGCAGTATACAGAGTTGCATGTTTAATTTTGGTGATATTAAAGCTACAACATAACGTTATTAGCATTTTTGTGAATGCAAAAGTAAATTCCTGAAAAAAAAAAACTTTTCACTGTATGGAAAGTGTCTGTCTGCCGCTGGTGTAGTAAAGAGGAGCGCAAATCCCTTAAGTGCAGTTCAGATAAATTACTACTTTGAAAGCTGAACTCCAGGCACTTGGAAAAATATACATTTTAAATGTTTAATTTTGAAAGGAATTGCCATTTCAATTGGGCAATCTTTGATCTGCCCCAGCCTGATCGCATAGCCAGGTCCTACACCTCATTGCAGACTATGTGCAATTTAGGTTTACCCTTTAAAACTGCTTCAGTTTAAATGTTTCTCACACAAACTACATTCACTGTGCTGTTTGCAAGTTCAGTTACACCATTACCATGGACACACCACATGTTAAATGTTTCATTTAATAAGAATTGCATATAAGTAATAAAATGTCTCAGTTTAGAAAAAGTCAAAACAAAATGTAAAACAAGATTCACACAAAATCATTAAAGCTTTTTATACTGCAAGCCCATTTTGTGATTGGGAGATGATGGAGCAGAAATGCTCTGAGATTATGCCTTTGCTTTTCCGTACGTTAATTTATGTATGGTAGAACTGACAACATTGTGCAGGGCAGTGCTGACCCACAAGTCAGGTCAGGGAGCACATGGAGTTGTAGGAGGCTTATGTTACGACAGATTTGGGTACTTTTTTTTTTTTTTTTTTTTTTTTTTTAATACCCAACAGGACTTCATGGTGTTTTCCTTTTGGGGTTAGGCTTTAAAGCATCAAGCAACATGTGCTCACTTAACAAAAATTTGTTAGGCACTAGATGTACATTTTCAGCAGTGGAAGCTACATGGATCTAGGAATAGGCCTTTGGCATTTACTGGACTCCTGGAGTGCTAACATTTTCTGAACGGTCAATCCACCGTACTGGGTTTTTTTTTTTTTTCTACAGCATTGTGGATTATCTCTGAAAGCATGAGTCCTTTTTGCTGGAAAAGGTGCTACATGGTGACCACGTTACACTTGGATTGAAATCTGCCTTTATACATGAATATTACATTTTCTTTTGCTCAGCAGTGGGTTGGTATTTTTATTGGCTCAGAAATTGGAAGCGTGTTATGCATGTTCATTTATGAATGGTTATATTTGAACGAGTAGAGAGGTAAACGGAAGTATTGATGATCTGCTTTGTTTTATCTGTCAGGAGCAGGTAGCAAATTCGGAAGATCTATTGAAAGACTTCAATGTGCGTTGCACACAGGAAATGACAATGCAAGAGCATGACGTCCCAGTACTCAGGGGCGGACCTGGATTCTACAAGGTAGTGAAGACTGGGCCCTCTGGTCACAACATCAGAAGCTGCCCAAACCTAAGAGGTATCCCAATTGGAATGTTAGTTCTGGGAAACAAAGTCAAGGCTGTGGGCGAGGTATGGACTCTTCTAGCTACAGTTGATGACTTGCTTAACTCCTCTAATGTCATGCAAATATCAAAGCAACAACGCTTTACTTTCCTTAGATGTCCTTACTGTTTTATTTGCATACTATTATAGCATTGCTAAACTTGCACATTTTCATAGGACAGTTGTGTTGCTTTTCTCAAATGATACCAAATGAGTTTATGCTGGAAGGCTGTCCAAAGCAATGATCACTTATGGAATTCCAAGTATGCTCTGGTTTTTCTTTAGCTCTTGAAATAGTGTAAATTTTGGAGCTTCTTTGTGTAAAGTATGCTTCAAGGTGTAGTGTGTCATGCTATTTCTCAATCCACCCTTTGGAGTTTGTGAATGCCTTATTACAAATCTGAACCATTTCCTGCTGTGCTTGTCATTATTTGCTAGACTTATTTTCTCTGTTGGCTGTTTTGAATCCTGATAATTTTGAGATGTGTATACTTTAACTTTATTTTAACCTTGTGTCATGCTGGAAAGGCCATACATTTCTATGAGTATTGTAGCATGCAGCAATTTTTGTTTTTTGATCCACCCAATAATGTTAAGATCTGCATGAATGTTGTGATCTCTATTCTTGTGCTAGGTGGTCAGTTCTGAAGGTACATGGGTACAGTTGGATAAAAACAGCATGGTAGAATTCTGTGAGAATGATGAGGGTGAGGCTTGGTCCTTGGCTAGAGATGCTGGAGGCAATCAATATCTCCGTCATGAAGATGGCAAGTATATGTAACTCTAATAGCAATTAAATTATTTCATACTCTAACTTGTGCCTAAACCCCCACACCCTTCGCCTTTATTTTTTGTGTTTCAGTGGTAGTCTGAGAGCTTTAGCTCAGCACCTTGTTTGGAAACATTCTCTTGTTTGAATATTCACTAATGAGCGAAAACACAAAACATCTTCGATACTATTCTGACATCTCTCATACCATTTTTATAAATGGTCAAAAGACTTGATTAGGAACATTTTTCACTGCCAGACAGACTAGGAATAATGGGGAGTTCAAAAAATCTACTGTTGGCACATCTAATATTTACCTGCTTAACTTTGTATTTTTTTTTATAGTTTCATTCAGCTAACAGTATACGTGTCTGTATGTTCATTGTATATATGTATTAGTGTTTTATACACATTATTATAAAAGGCACTTCATATTAAATTTCAATTTTACAGTGTTGGAGCATATAAAATTACCATGCAAGGTCACTATCCATAGCCTTGCCTAAAGCTAGGTGCCAGCAGCAATATAATTTATTTTTTGCCCATCCATTGCTTAGTGGGCATTTTATTTACTAGAATTAGCTAATTGCTCTAACATCAGGAAAATAAACCATAACAGCCTCTAATGTCCAAAGCATGGTGCTTAAATTATCCAGTGCAATGTGTACACATTTCCCAAAAGTAATCCAATCATAGTGTGCCCTGCCATTAAATGTACAAACCCATAAATCAAAGAATTCTTCAGCCATGTAATTAATACTGAAACACTTGTATATGTACTCCGTTTTTTTGCTTTTGATAACTTTGTTGATGCTTTAGGAAGCGGAAAATATAATTTTTTTTTTTTGTCCATTGAGGGACAGTCTTTAACCACTTCCCGACCGGCCATTGCATATAAACGTCCGGACGGTGGCACTACAGGTTTGGGTGGCCGTTTATAAACGGCCTCCCCGCACCCTGCTTGTGCGCGCTCCCTGGAAGCGCGCAGCACTGCGATCCGGTGCCCGCTGTGTCCTCCGAAAACACCAATCGTCGGACGGGACCTCTGTACAAGGCTTTTCACAACAGCCTTGTACCATGTGACAAGCTGTGACCAATCACAGCTCACTCAGTACTTCTCAATGAGTGCAAGAATGCAGCTAGAGAGAAGGAGAAATTATTGCTTTTACATCCTATATGGGTGTAAAAGCAATCGGTGTAAAAAAAAAAAAAAAAAAAATCTTCATCACCCCCCACAAGTAGTACAGTGCCACCATGGTGACACTGTACTGCTAGGGTGACAGTATGTAAAAAAAAAAAAAAAAAAATGTAAAAAAAAAAAAAAACTTTAAAAAATTTTAATTTTTGGTTATAAACTTATTTGGATTTTTTTTTTTCTACTAAAAAGATAACGGAATACATTTTGGCCAAGATGTATGATGAAATATTATTTATTTGCAAAATTTTTTTAAAAAAAACACTTTTTTAAAAAATGTTTGGACTTTTTCATTTACATAGCAAAAAAAATTAAAATCCCAGCGGTGAATAGATACCACCAAAATAAAGCTTTATCTGTCTCAAAAAAATGGTAAAAAATTCATTTGGTTACAGTGTTGCATGACCGCGCAATTGTCATTCAAAGTGTGATGGCGCTGAAAGCTGAAAATTGCCCTGGTCAGGAAGGGGGTAAAAGTGTCCGGTCTGGAAGTGGTTAACCTTTGGGCTATACTGCCATCTGCAGGTGGTTTGTACACTGGCAAACAAAACTGTAGGGGCACTCTAGGATAACCTTTTCAACTACTAGAATGCCTTGGAGGGATGGACGTCTTTTCTTCAGCTCTGCTGTGTCAGACTAACGGTTTTTGTGTTTTTTATTTATTTATTTATTTTTTCTTCCATGTTTTGTTTGCAATCCAGACTCCTCTCTGGAATACTCTGGCTGGGCAATGAGTGGACCTTGAGGGATAGCCTGGAAGTGACCTTCCAGACTCCCCTGTAGCGATTGGACCAAGCACGTGCACATCGCTGGGTGCCTTTTTATTCTCTCTTTCTGTAGGTTTTTGCTACAGAATGGGCTAACACTGTGAGACTGAGTGCAGGTCAATGAGTGTAATATTGTGAATGCCTTATTTCCTATCGTATTACGTCAAGGAAAGATCACCCTCCTGTTCTTGGTTGCAAAAGCTATGTTGAATTTCAGCCTTCTATCCATCCCTGCTCCCCAACTACAATGGCTTTGGTCACCTCTGGCCATCTGACCATCACCTGCTACCAGCTGTAGGTCACCTCTGGCCATCTGACCATCACCTGCTACCAGCTCTCAAGGTATCATGAGTACTTAAAGTGTTACTAAACCCACAACAGTAAAATTGATCTGTATATGCAGTAAAGCATGCTTGTTATACTCACTGGAACAGAAGGGCTTAATCCTCTGCATTGTGTAAAGTAGGTTTGATCCTGTCTTCTCTGATCCTCCCCTTTTTTTTCTAATTTCTCCAATCCATCTGCTGATTGAGCATGTGCAGCTTGAACTCAAGGCTCTGTTCTGTTTGTTGTGTATTGAACTATTGCTTGAGTTTGTGTGGTTTTTTTTTTTTTTTTTTTTTTTTTTTTTTTTTTTGGGAGAGTGCTGCTGATTGGCCCTGTACTGATCACATGCAGAGGGTCAGGGGTCCTGCAGTCTCATACGACAATCGGCGAAGAATGAATACTCCAAGCTTTAACCAGTGCTTTGCTGGACATTGATAGAAGTCATACGATTGCTCTAACTGAAGAGAAAAGATATTTAGTTTATATTTACTAAAATCATTGCATTTCCATGTTCTGTGTACTGTGGGAGACCAGATATAGTGAATGCAGGATCATGGGTTTAGCATCAATTTAAGGCCATGCCTCTTATCTTGCACCCATACTTTGCCTTACTGTCATGCGGTAGCAACATGTCTTGTTGAAAACGAAACAATCCTGCTGCACTAGGTGCCCCCAGCTTTTTACTAATGGATCTGGGGCTTCTTGAAGCATGTCTGAGGATTCTAAGTCTGCAGCCTGGAATTCATGTTGCCCTTTCCTCTTGGAGTCCTCTTTAGTTCTGTTGAATATGGTTGCATCATCTGCCCTTTCAGCTGAGATCTTTTACTTTAACCTTGCAACATTTTATGGCCCATATCTTTCCATTAATTGCTGAAACTGATCACAAGAGCCACAAGCATACTCTGGTGCCCTCTCCTGCTTATTCTGTATTTGATTTTCCTGTGGCCCAACTGGTTTCCAAGCTATCAGACACAGAGACTGATTCTGATTTGCTTAAGTTGATTGGGGAGTTGCAGTCTACTGTTGTCACTCCTAATTTAAAGGAGACTTTCAGTTCCTAATGATCCAGTGTGTGGAATTTTGATATGAAGGATGCTGCTGGCGGCAAGTGTACCTATCTATTGTCTTCAGTAGAAGAAGACTGAGGAACAGACTGCAGAGTCTTTTCCCTCTGACTGTTATGTATTGTCCCTTTTTAGTTTTTCCACCTCTTGTCCTCATGGATACCACCCCCAAGACCTGGCACTCGGTCTACTAAATCCTCAGAAAAGCCTTCCTCAGCACGAAGGTAAACCTCAACTTTCCGGACTGTGGGAATGTTTGTTAACCTTCGTGGGAACTTGCCCAGCTTGCAACTTAGATGCATAGGTGCAGGAGGTGGTATCATAGGGTTACAAAATGGAGTTCTTTCTGCCCTTCTTAGGTTTCTCACCTCTAACCTTCTTGTATCGCCACACAGATTCAAGTCTTCTTGGGTCTTTTGGCTCAGGCTTCCTCTACACAACAATTTCAGGCATTTTACCCCAATCTACTCACCATAGACTCAAAGGGGCAGCCTCCTTTTAAGGTAGTTCCATGTACCCAGTTTCACCCCAGACCTCTGAACACATTATGTTGAGACAATTTGTTCTGGTCTCTAGACAGATCAATTTGCTGCAGAGGACCAGGTTGTCCTTGGCTTGGTGGTTTGGGAATCCGGCTCTGGAGTTAGAGAATTCCTCCTTGTATTTTAGAAGATCCTCAATGAACTCCAGCTTGTCAGGCTGGAGTGAAGTCCTGGACACCCTGCAGCACAGGGCTTTAGTCCGAAGAGGAGTCTTGTCTCCCAGTTAGCATGGTGGAACTTTAGTGGTTTAGATGTCTCGGCAGCATTGGACCATCCTGCTGAAGGGTCAATCCACTTGGATTCAGAATGCCACAATGGGTATCTTCTGTCTAATAGACCAATTTGCCAGACTGCTTAGCAAGGTTTGGACCAGTGTATACGGTATTATCAAGGGTCAGGTTTCAAAGACCATTGACCTCTCATTTTTTGATTAAGACCTTTTGTACAAGGGGTCTCTTGTGTATCACTCTTCTTCTGTTTCCCTTGCGACTCCCTGGCATCAAAATCTGCTCTCTGTGCTTCAGACATCACCACTTGAACCTATTCGAGCTATTCCTTTCTTTACTCTCACGTAGATGGTGGCATTTCTTTCATCACCTCTGCAAGGCGAGTGTCTGACCTTGCCCCTTTTCTTTTTTCATAGGGAGAAATTGAAGTCGAGGCCCAGGGCTTTCTTCCTGCCTAGGGTATTTTCTGCTTTTCACCCCAACCAGAATAGTTCTGTCCCTTTTTGTCTGGTTCCAGTTCACTCAAAGGAAATTTCATTTCATTGTCTAAAGCACAGGTGTCAAACTGGCGGCCTTCCAGCTGTTGACAAACTACAAGTCCCATGAGGCATTGCTAGATTGACCATTACAAGCGTGACTCCCAAAGGCAGAGGCATGATGGGACTTGTAGTTTTGCAACAGCTGGAGGGTCACCAGTTTGACACCACTGGTCTAGATGATGTTTGGGCTGTCGGGGGTCCTGTATCCTGGTCCTGCCTTCTTTCTATCTTTTTTGTTTGTTTGGTTTTTTTTGCCTACAGTTGGTGAATTGCTTGATACCTCGATAACAGTAATCAAACAAAACCAGTTATAAACAACATTGACAGGCTGAGTATACTAATTAATAGCATATGATACACGGTCAGAGCACTGAGGGGGTCATAATATACATAGTGACTATTGGCCAGATTGAGAGACCAAAGGAGACGTGCCCATTACTGTATATGACATATAGTGATACACTTGCAATCAGTGTTGGAACCAATTGTTATGAAAAATAAAGAGCAGGGGTGTCAAACTGGTGGCCCTCCAGCTGTTTCCAAACTACAAGACCCATCATGCCTCTGCCTTTGGGAGCCATGATTGTGTAACGGTCAATCTTGCAATGCCTCATGGGGATTGTAGTTATGTATTATATTCTTAAACTAAACAAGAATAACCTGTATTCAAACTGCTTACAGTTTTAATGAACAATCTAAGACAGAGTGCTACAAATATGTATACGTACATGTAATCTATCTTTTCCTACGGTATGAACATTGACAACAGTCTGTATGCAGCAGGGATACACTAAGTTACACAAATTGAGTAATCACAGGAAAAGGGTTTCTAGATTTTTTTATGTTCTTTCATAGTGAAGCGTTATATTGTCCCATGGTAAAGCTCTCCTTACAGCTTTAGGTGCAAGCCTATTTTGGAGGTTGTAGCCATTCTCATTTGTGCCCTAAATCCGTTTCCATGAGGGAAGAATTTCTGCCTGCAAACTATAGATGGCAGCACAGTACAATAAATGCAACCGGTCAGATAAAGATATTTTCTTGGCAAGAGGTTTACAGTAGATCGGTGTACACCTATACTTAATACAGGCAGTTGCTGAGTTATGAACATTCGAGTTAAGAACAGAGGGAGAAACAGGAACTAAAGGGAAATCTATCCTTGGGAAGGGAAATTCACTCCTGTAAGAGTTATCATTGGAAAAAGGTATCTCCACTGAAGGTTTATCACCAATCCTTGTTTCCACGACAACTCAAAATTTTTAAAATCCAGTTGTCACAGAAACAAAGTGAGGTGACATCTTCTGAACAGGAATACAAACAGCAAAACAAGCATTTTGGGGCTGTTAACCCTTCCCCATGCTATTCAAAAGAAAAATTAAAAAATTTTTTGGCTGCAGTTAATAAAAAAAATATGTACCTGTTCGTTCGTTCGTTCGTTCGTTCGTACGTACGTACGTACGTACGTACGTACGTACATACATACATACATACATACATACATCAGTTTAAGAATAAACCTACAGAACATATCTTGTTCCTAACTCTGGGACTGCCTGTAGTGCACATAGCTTTTATTTTTATTTTTTTAAAGAACAGCATAACTGGTCTTATTGCTTAAAGTGCTTGTAAACCTCAGACATGAAATATGAATAAAGCATATCCCTATATAGTGTGTACTTGTCTCAATTAAGAGCACGAAGTGTGATTTCGGTCTGCTGCCTCATTCCTCTATCAGCATGAATCACTTATGGCACTGTTTTCCCTGGCACAAAGAGAAAAGACAGGGGAGGGACTTCCAGCAGATTGACAGCCTCAGCCCTGTTCCTGTGAGCTGGTGGAGGGGTGTGTTTTTTGTCCCTCCAATCAGCTCTCAGAACTCTCCTCACTGAGCTCTGCAGAGTGTACTTTCGGCTCCCCACTCCTCCCTTTTTCTGAACTCTGAAAAACTGTATAAATTCTGCGCTTTGAACAGATGTAGAGGAGAAGGCTGGAGATGAACAAGTACAACTTATATAGGAGGGTTTATTTCATTTCTGTGCATCACCTGAAAGCAAGTCAATTCACTGGGTATAGCTAAGGGTTTACAACCACTTTAATGTAACAGTAGCATCTGAAAATCACAATCCTTGCTCTCCAACACATTTTTCATCTTTTGCCAGGTTTATGATCTAAGAACCTTCAAAAAAATTTTTTTGGGTTACACGTTACCATTCATTATGCTCTAGCACTTCCCATGTATTGGTGCTATTCTGTGACCTTCATTTGATTGGCAACTCAACACACCTTTTTCTGATGTACCTGCTTTGCAGTGCAGCGTACTAACGTTAAGATGGTGTATGCTCAATTGTTTTTTTTTTTTTTTTTTTTAGCAGTACACCACAATGCATTTTAGTGCATTGTCAGATGTTGCTCTGCATGGCAACACACACTCCTAGCAGGGTGCCATTCAGAATGAGTGGTACTAAGTTTCACCTTTTTTTTTTTTTCTGGCATTGAACTGTAGTGGAACGCAGTAAAATGCACCAGAACACACATGTCCTTATTTAAGTAGGTTACTTGAAGAAACACCAGAGAGGAGAAAATAGTCCCAAGTTTGATGTTTATTTAAGTTGAGGGCTGGTTCACACACCAGATGCAGTCCAGTGCATGCAGATTGTTTTCCACGTATTCCAATGGCCATGGTTCACACTAGTGTAGTCATTTCCAGTGCAGAAGAAAAAAAAGTAGAACATGCTGCATTTTGTTCTGCACAGAGCTATACTGGAACATAGCAAAATGCATTAAAAAAACACGCCGAAACAGAGTAGTGTGGTATGAAATGTAAGAAAAATGCACCTGGAATGCGTTTGCTGTGTTTGTGGTGTGAACTGGCCCTAAAGGAGGAAGGTAAACTTTTTCAGGATGGACATGAAAAATGTTACCATAGTCCTTCCTTCCTTTTTTTTTTTTTTTTTTTTTTTTTTTTCCCCTTGGGGAAAAAAAATAGGCTTTTTTTTTTTTTTTTTTTTGACACATTAATGTTGTTTTTCCTGTTCCTACTGACAGTGCAGAAAGATGACTGCTTTCATGCAAAACTTCAGGGAGGTGATGAAGTGCAACACTAGTTTATCTTTATACTAGAGAACAATAACTCCGTAGTTGTTACAAATACACTATTGTAGCACAAATATAGTACTGAATTGTCACCAACCAAACAGCATAATGTAGATGGGGACACAAGGAAGCCAAGCTAGACAGAATCTGATTTACCATAGAAGACTGCTTGGAACACCCAGTACATTCCTGGTTGGTAAACCGCAGTATAATTAAGCGGTAATCCAGGCTTTGAAGGATTTTTTGTGTCCTCGAATCTTGTCCTTTGTGTTCCTGTGGAGCTGTGCTTTATTGATATAGGCTGTCAAATTGAGAATTAAAATACTGAAATGTACTTTTTTGCATTCTAATACACAGAGCAAGTTGTAGAGCAGGGTTCGCAGACTCCACCTCCTAGCCCGTTTTCCATTCAGATTTTCCGTCGTACTGCAAGTGGAAACATTGTTCCTGGATTTGACTATGGCCTTGGAAATAATAAAGGTATGGTTTTTTTATTTTTTTGTTGGGTCTCTTTGGTTGTCCATTGATTTTGATTCAATATTTATTTTGTATAATGTGCTGTTGCATTCTTTTGAGTGTGATTTCTGTATTCTTCAACCTTCTCCTAAACCCCAGTTTAACACAATTTTGACTTTTGAATATATTGCCATGAATAACTGAATCTGTCTTTGTGCCTGTAATGCCCATGGGACCACCGTTAGGGCTCATGCACACTGAGAGTTTGCTCAACTCCCCTGAACAACATTTCTCCTGACTGAAGCAAAGTTGCTTTAAAAAGGTCTAAAGCCACGTTTGCACGTTGCACACGTGCTTAGGTGTGTTTTATGCATCAAACGTTTGTGTGTCAATGGATTTCATTGGCCAGAATATTTATTCTGGCCATTGGAATGAATGCATGAACTGTCAAGCTCTAAAAACATCTGGTTGTGGACACTTTGCACACATTGCCATGTCAAGTGGTTTTCTGCCCAAAAGCTCCTCTCCTGAATATGCTGGTGATTGGTTTTCTTTTCTGCCTGTGAACGCCTATGTTTGCATGGACACATAGGCTAACAAAGAGGTGTGTTTACAGGCAGAAAAAAAGTCAAATGCCTGTAAAAGCAGTAGTTTTTAAGCTCAGTGTGCATGAGCCCTTATACTGATCTAGATGGAATGATATAGTAACTCTAGAGCACTATACACGGGTAAAATCTTTTCCCAGGTTTTGGTTTGTGTGTGTGTTTCCAGTGAGTAAATTTTTTTTTTTTTAAGTTTAATTTAATAATTTGTCAAATACTATTATTTTGTTATACTATTATATATAAATATTTGTATATTAGCTGGTAAAGGGACCTTTTAATTTATTTTTTCCAGGCTCCTGCTTACAGCTGTTAAGATAATTAATGCAAAGTGCATTTTTTTTTTTTTATAGCAAATTTGCAATTTATAGCTTATAGTGAGATTGAGAAGTAAACCAAATTAATTTGGAGCCTGAAGGTGAAGAAGCTGAGCCTACATATGTAATGAGCAAATATGGCTGTTCCCATGTACATTTCAAATGGTACTTCCTAGAGACATACAGCATGGTGCGTGTCCAAAGAGGAAACCACCTTTTTACTGCAAAATCATAAGCAAACCTCAGCCAGGATCACCAGCAATGTTTTTGCCAACAATTTATATTTATTGCCACAAGATATGTGCATTTATTGTATTTTATACATGTTTACTTGATTAAGTTTCTCTTGTGTCAACATCCACAAGCCCTGAGGCTCTTGTTGGACACAGCCATCTTGGATATGATGTCCTCAGCCCAGGGATTCTGAAGCTGTCACTCAAGTGAAACTCTTTCGAGTAGATGAGCTGTATTCAGTCCAAGCTTCACTCTGTCATTGAGTGGCACAGAATGTGCTTTTGTGCTGTATGTCTGAGACCTTAACAAAAAGCACCAGCATTCAATAAAATGGGGAACCATGTAAGACGTGCTGCTATTGATTTAAACAAATCAGTGTATCATCTCATTTTTGTATTTACTTTGTAAAATGGAAATGCCTTTCTTGATTTCATGTAATGTCTCTTAATTCCTAACATATACAGCATTGTTTTTGTTTTGTTTTTTCCCGTGTGTGTGTGTTCTTTTGTTACCAGGATCACTCGGGTTTAAAAATTATTGCTCTATTACACGTAAGATTACAGGACAATGTGCCTCAATTTAATTATGTATCAAAAAAAATATTTTTTTGACTAATTGCTTATAGTAGTAGTTTTACCTGTGAACAAGTAGAATTAAAACACAGCTAAAGCTTTATATGACTTGTTAGTAGCAGAGGCAATTATGTTGGCAAATGTAACGTATATAAGTTGCAATTGAGGTAAATCCCATACATGTGCCATGTTTTTTCTGAACGGTTGTGTAATGGTGGTTCTAGCTTTGCAGTGCTGGAAACTGATTATGCCAGTTCAGTTTACATAACCATAGATTAACCAAATTGTAGCCCTTCTGCGCCCACATTGTAATCTATGCAAGCGGTATAGTCATGGCTTGGTTTTCGAAAGCTAGGTTGTAGTTGCATGCAGTGGTTTACAACAGTTGTCAGTATTTAAATACCATTAGGTCATGCCGTTTATTTAGTAGTCTGAAGCTGAAATATGGGCTAAATACAAAAGCCATGTGTATTTTTGTTTGAGTCTGTGTATTTTTTCCAGATCTGTGCAGTAATGCGCCATGAAATACCTCCTACACTATGCCTTTGTTTCGGAGTTTCTTGTAATATAGACCAGTCTCTGCTGGTGTCTCCTCGTGCAGGGTGACTGGTCATGTATCCACCCCCCTGTGGTTTTCTTCAGGCAGTCTGTTGTGGTTAGACCTGTTAGGTCCCATCCTCGCCTCTGCTCTCTGCACAGGCTTTGTGCAGCACAAAGGTGATATCACCACTACTTGTACAAGGTAAAATATGGGTCTGCAAAGGTATTTGGTACACACAAATTTTGAAAGCTTTTTGTGCCCAGAGTTCAGCTTTAAAGGACAAGTGTACTTACAATATTCAGTGAGATGTTTGCTGAGAACAGCAGTTAAAGAATCCCTTTGAGGTGTGATGAAGGGAATTCCTGAGATAAAATACAGAATAATAAGGCTTTCATTATTTAGGTAGCTGTTTCATGAGAGTAAGATAAAAATTCCACATCTAGAGACATTTGTGAATTAACAGTTTTGAAGGGAAAATGTATTATGAGCTAAAATGCTGACATTAGTTAATCATTCCAACGTCTTAGTTATCTGACCTTGGTGTTTTGTCTTGTCTTTGATAAAAAACATGATTCAAACTTGTGTGACAGGAGGCATAAAACAAACTTAAATGGTACTAAACGGTTTTGCTTTTTTTGGTAACATCGTGAAAAGCATTTTCTTTTTTTTGGCAGTCAAAATTGTTCAAGGCATAAGGTTTGTATTAATAATTTGTTACCATTCATACAAGTGCCTTCTGGTATTTGATCATATGGGGAAACAGAGTTCATCATGTGACTTTGTTGCATTTTAAAGTATATGCCTACCTTTTTGGTATCTCTTCTCATCAGAGCTAGTGCAGAAGCAATGGATATTTTATGGTTTATCTAAGTAGCATGTCATTACCTACTCATAAATCATTTATTGATGGGTTTTAGTTTTGATTGTTTTGCCCATTGCAGGTGATCAACTGAGTGCCATACTGAATTCCATTCAGTCACGGCCTAGTTTGCCAGCTCCTTCCATCTTTGACCAAGCTGCAAAACCTCCCTCTTCCCTAGTCCACAGCCCATTTGTGTTCGGACAGTCCCCCTCCTTCCAGCAGCCTCAGCCTCCGCTTCAGAGTAAGTCTGTCCCTCTATATCCTGTATTTCAAATAAAGGAAGAATTTTCTGGCTTCATTAGACTGGCATTACACCTTGCTTACTTTGGCTTGGTGCAGTCTGTTTTTCAGCTGCAGTATTGTTTTATTACTAGCTATGCAATCATTTTGCCCTTTGATACTTAGTGAAATGTGTAAGATAAGGCCCCATTTATTTATTTAACATTATAGAGAAGTTAATATTTTCAGATTTATGATTCATCATTGGCTTACAGTTGCTTGAATGTGGATTTGATGAAGTATTTAAAATTGCACATAATAGTTCTGCAGTTAATAGGCATTGAGGCATTAATTTGCATAATTGAGGATCTTCTGTTGAAACTTAGAAATAACATGAAGGCAATTGTAATTTTATTTGCTAGTTTGAGATTTTAATGTTATAAGGCATTCATATGTTGACTAATCCATGTGCATGCATGTAAATGCATATTCGCCAGCTCTGCTATGTGTTCCACAATGTGCAACCTATTAACATTCAGATCTTGCATTCATATCCATCAACTGATAATTTTTCTAGTAATGAATGAAGGCTCCATTCATTATCTGCCTTACGCTTTTTTGTTTTCGTGGTTTCCTTTGTTCAGCGAATGATTTTCAACAGTAGATTTGGCTAATTTTTTGCTTTTGTATTGGATACAAAGAGATGATATATTTATGCTTTTGAAAAACATCACCTATCCCTAAGTAGACAACTGCTTTGACTTTTAATGGCACAGAGTTAAAGCATGCATATTGAGGGATAGTAACTTGGTAGATTTGCACATTTGTCTGACAATCAAAATACTGAGTTAGCAAGAAAAGAAAACCTAATTCAATAAAGCATTAATGGACTCAAAAGCTTTTGGAAGCTTTAGTTGTCTAACAATATGTATAACATAATAGTTTCCTACCCCACAACCACAAGCCAGATGTAAACTTTCATCATACAAATTTTGATTTTCCAGGGCAGAGTAGAATCAAGCTAGTCTGTGGGTTTAACAGGGCCTAATCTGTATACAGTTTGAGATGTAAAACCTAAAATGTTTTTACGCTTCAATCTATCCATAAACATTGTTTTTCTGCGGCAACTTGAAAATTATTTGATATTGCTGCCAAGTAAACCTTTCACAAACCTAGCCAGTTTGAGTATCTGAGTAAATACATAAAGAAAGAGTACCTTAAGAGGACAACGTTTAGAAAATCCAGAGATTAAGGAATCTGAATAATAAGCATTTCTTCATTGTTCCTGTAAAGCCTCATTCACACGGGCATACTTAAGAATATGCCAGTGTGAGGAACGGGTTTACCCACATGTAGATGCACAGGTTGCAATACCATTTTATATCAATTTGGACACCCGTGCACTTGGAACCCGCACCTACACTGCTCCCAAATTGAGAACACGTGCATCCCCGTATGGGCGTGGTTCTAAAGATTATAATTTTTTTTTCTTAAAATAAACATACTTGCCTATGTGCAATGGTTTTGCACAGAACAGCCCTGATCCTTCTCCAGCCCCCTGCTGATGTTTCTGTCCTCTCCCCATTGCCGAGTGCCCCTAGAGGAAGCTTCTCCCAAGCCAGCTCTGTGTGTCTATGGGACAAGGAGCGTGGCTCAGGCCCACCCGCTTCTTCTAGCCAATGAGGAGAGAGACTGGGAGAGCCGCTGCTTTTGCTGGATCAAGATTGGACTCGGGTAAGTATTGGGGGGACGACTGTGGGGGAATCTGCACACTGAAGGTTTTTTTTTTTATCTTTTTTATGCACAAATGTGTAAAAAAAAAAAAAAAAAACAAAAAACAACCCTCACCCTTTACAACCACTTTAAGTGCAACCATGTGAACAAGGCCAAATTGGGAGCAATGACTGTGTCCGTACCAGCAGCTGCATCCCAATTGGTGTGAGTAAGATGGGATGCATGGAACATCTACGCATTCCCATGTGGCCAATCACGGCCCTCGCATAGGGTTATGCTTAAGTATGCCTGTGTGAATGAGGCCTATATGTTGACCTGCATCTTCCTATGGTCATGAGGCTACCCATGATAAATATCCAGTAGGAAAAGATAGAGCACATATTATAACAGAAGTCAGTGAGCGTTGCAAAAGCTGGAAAAAGAAAAAGTTCTATATCCATGCAGCGTGGCCCCTTACACTGCCAAGGTTAATGATTTAAGTTTAGGGAGAGAGGAATAAGCTTGTAATAGTTACCTTATTTCTCACTCCCCTGGCACTTTTTTTTTTTTTTTTTTTTTTACTTCTCCCCAACATTCCAAGTTGTAGGCAAGCCCTCGCGATCCTAACATGCAATGCAGGATCGCTGGTCCTGTGTTGAACGTGATGACATGACATCAGAGTGCGACTGCTGACCGGAGCACAGAAGCTTTAGGGACCAGTCGCACAGTGTAGTGGAAGCCTGCCTGAAAAAGAAATGAGGTATTAGATTTTATTTTTCCACCCTAGACTTAATTGTGAGGCCCCACTGCAAGGATTATTTATGTATTTTTGTGTTGGACAGAGTGGAGATGGACTGCAATACCTATTATTATTTTTTTTTATTTTTTTTTTGCTGTCTGTGTCCCCATTTGGGATGTTAACTCTCTCTCAACTGGTTCTGGTGACCTGGGGGGGGGGGGGGGGGGGCCCTCCACGTGATTCCCTAAATTTACAGGGATTTCCTCTTTTCAGTATGGGACAGAAAGTGAAGGTAATCATCCCCTATGGCACACAGATGGCAAAAAGAGGGTCATAACCTCCTCTTACTCTATTCAAAATGGGAAAGTTTTGCCTATAGTTATTTAACTGTAGTCATTGCTTGATAATGGAAATCCATTTCTTCCTGCGTCATTACTCATTTTGTGGTTTTAGGATGGGCCGTATCCAAACTGTTAGCAACTCTACTGTAATGAAAAAAAAATGTTTTGCCTTTTTAGGTATACTTTGAGCAGTGCCTGTAGTATAATGCATCTATATGCTTAGTTGATGCCTGCTTTGTAATGTGCTTTGTGTTTGCTAAAATGTTTGCTGCTTCTGTACAACTGTCTTCCACTATAGACCCCACACCATGCTGTGATGCTTCTTGTGAGCCTGTTAGCAAAGTTAAAGCTCGTCCTACATCTGCTTTTTCTCAGCTTTCTAACAGACCAAAGGGTGGGTATGCATGCTTTTCATCCCATAGTGTTTTGCTCAATGTACATTAAACAGAGCTATTGCTAAGCCCTTGCTTTCATATTACCTGAAGGTAAGCTACATTTGTGGAATATCTCAAGATTGTGAGTGAACCTGACCTTTTGCCAAAGCATCAACATAAGACTTTAAATGTTAAATTATATTAATCGTTATGCAATTTTATGTTCTTCACATGACTTACAGCCTTGCCTTGAAGAGTGAATTTAATAAAATCACCATGGCTGTCAGATTTTTACTGTGGTTGTTGTTAATATGAAGCCAACTATTTAACCCCTTCTTTTTGGAACTTGAGTGTGTCAGCGAGGAAGATATTAACAAACTTGGAAGTGGCAAACAAAAGCAGAAGTGTGTAGAGGGTACTGACTTCAGCTTCTTCAGAAGTTCTGTTACAGTGGCAATGTAAATTAGTTTGTTTATATGATCGGGCCTTCTTCAACTTAATAACAAATGTGGGAATGCTTGTGAGTCTTTGATTTTGAATGGCTACTAAAATACTGTTGTATTTGGACCTAAAGTCATAAATTTAATCTAAGCCATGGGTGGCCAACCTGGGTCCCAAACTGGCTATGAATGTGGCCCAACACAAAACTGTAAAATTTGATTTGAAATTTTATGTAAAATTGCATTTACACTTAGTGAACACATGTAGCCAAAAAAAATTTGACTGTCTCTTTACTGGACTTTTATAAGTGTTCTCTTCCCAAAGAAAAATATTCCACTCGTCACAATCACACCTTATTCTTCTCATCAGTTTTTGGCAGCACATATATTTGTGAGCAACTGTTTTCAAGGATGAAGCACACACAGGGTAAAATTAGAACCAAAATATCTGATGAGCACCTAGAGAAAATTCATTGAGAATTACTACATCCATTGAACCAGATATTGATGTTAGTTTATAAAAAACTGTGTAAAATATTGCACTACTTTTTTATGTTGGCCTTTTTTTTTTTTTTTTTTTTTTACTTGTATTATTAAAATCCGACAAAATTAAGTTTTATTACACATACATTATTTAGATCAGTGATCATTAACTTGTGATCTGCCTGACTTTCTGCTCATCAACTATCCTTATTGTTAGTGTATTTTATATGTGGCCTAAAAAAAATTCCTCTTCCAGTGTGGCCTAGAAAGTCAAGATTGGACACTCCTGATCTAAGCTGTTAAATTTTGCAAATACAACATTTAATATTTGCCATATTGATGATAAACCATAAGTAGATCTAAAGGAGGACTGACCATCTGTCTGTGATCCAGTTAGAGAAACTGAAAGTGATTAAAAGCAAAGTGTTGAGAAGTCTAAAAAAATAATTCACCAAAACAGGAGGGAAGAGCAAATCATCCAATGGAGACTGCTGAAAGGTGGGGGGAGGGTTTTCCTTTTATTTCCCCATGTTTTCCTGTTTCAGAGGCGCACAGGAAGAGTGCATCTGTGTTCTCTATTTTGGCTTGAGGGCTTGAGATATACTTAACATGAATAGAAGGGTAAAAACAATATTTTTTTTCTGCGATAAAACCTAGTGTACCAGCTTCCACTTTTAAAGTGTTTTATATGTAGCCAAAATGTTTTATTCAATTGTACAGGATACAGGAATTCTAATAAAATCTTAGACCATGGGTTATATGTTGCTGTTTTCAAGGGATTGGACACTGGCAAAAGCTTTGGGGCTACCCACCAGTGTGTCCATATAACCACTATGTAAGGCTGCAGTTTTTTACTATTGCCTTTTAGCTGATGCCCCCCTTCTGCTATTGAAGATTTTTTTTTTTCTATTTTCATTCAGAATTATTTTACC